ACACTGAATCGCATGTACTACTTGTTCATTGTTAGAAGTACATGTTGAATCGCATGTACTACTTGTTCATTGTTAGAAGTACATGCTGAATCGCATGTACTGCTTGTCCATTGTTGGAATTACACACTGAATCGCATGTACTGCTTGTTCGTTGTTAGAAGTACATGCTGAATCGCATGTACTGCTTGTCCATTGTTGGAATTACACACTGAATCGCATGTACTGCTTGTTCGTTGTTAGAAGTACATGCTGAATCGCATGTACTGGTTGTTCATTGTTAGAAGTACATGCTGAATTACATGTACTGGAATATGTAATGGAATATATTGGAGGAGGAGGGGGGGGGGATATCATGAGATTTTATAATGAAAGTTATTTAAGTACCGTGGGCAAAAATTACTGTTGACAGGAAATACTTCTCGTTCTTACGCGTCTAACGTTCTTGGACTTTGATTAAATTTGATATTACATTTCAATACTTGCCGCGGTTTATACTATTCTTCAGTTTAGCCCTTTAAAAGAAACTAGATTTTTCAACTATTAATATCATCATCTAAATATCATAGAAACAAGTGACACACGAATGTATTCCGTTTCAAGATTAAATTATCAATAAAACCAGTGAAAAACATTTATTTTGAAAGGAAGCGGTGGCACAGTGGGATGTCTGCGGACTTACAACGCTAGAAACCGGTTTCGATACCCATGGTGGGCGGAGCACAGATAGATCTTGTGTAGGTTTATGCTTAATTAAAAACAAACATATATATATATTTAAGGAAATAACCTATACAAGTGAAAAAAGAAGGCATATTTGTCTTGTCAAATTTAATAGTTCCAATTTTATCTTATAAATGTCATCCTACAAATCTGGATTAATAACACTTAAAACTTCTGGGGCAAAATCTCTCTTCTCTGTGTCTATTTCGACGTATATTACAAAGAAAAGTGTATTTATTTGTTTATTATTATTCACACAGTTACATAACGAAACCCGAAATTTAGTGAAGTAAGCTGTTAGACTTACCGCTGAGCTACCGGGGGGTCCCAAAATTTGAGGGATTATTTCGACTAAAACCCGAACAGATTCTTCACTTAACTGTATGGAGAGTAAATATAATCGCATAAGACTTATACTGGTAGACATATGATGGAATCCATATAAGACGATCTTTTGGAACAACGGGGGTAGGGTGTTGCAAGCCCGAGGCTTTTGCTGAATTCCAGGATTTTAGTGGTTCAGATCTCGGGACCCAGCATGATTATAAATCGTTTATTTACGCTTTTTCTGTCTTAATAAAAAGTAGTTAAATAATCTCCATTCCTTATCTAAGGCCCTGGCATGGCCAGGTGGTTAGGGTGCTCGACTCGCAATCTGCGGGTTGCGAGTTCGAATCCCCGTCCCATCAAACATGCTCGCCCTTTCAGCCGTGGGGGCGTTATAATGGGACAGTCAATCCCACTATTCGTTGGTAAAAGAGTAGCCCAAGAGTTGGCGGTGGGTGGTGATGACTAGCTACCTTCCCTCTAGTCTCACACTGCTAAATTAAGGACGGCTAACGCAGATAGCCCTCGTGTAGCTTTCCGCGAAATTAAAAAACAAACAAAACAATCCTTATCCAACTAAATTGATTAAAATATAATTCGAACACAGGAGATTGGGCTATCTGTGCTCTGCCCACCACGGGTATCGAAACCCGGATTCTAGCGTTGTAAGTCCGCAGACATACCGCTGTGCCACTGAGGGGCCACGAGATTGGTAAAACTTTAATCAGTTTCACGAATAGTTTTGTTATTAAAACTGTTATTTCACCTTATGGGCACCCTAATCAGGTTCCTTTCTTGTTTTTTTGTTTTGTATGTAAGCCTGACAGTGTCAATATCACCCAGCAAGAAAAATCGTTCAGTATATAGAGTGAAAGTAATTAAAGTTGAGAACAGGCAGCTTTTTATCAGCTTTTAATGAAGTTTAATCAAGAACTCGCATTCGATAGAAATGTTCAATCTTTTTGGTTATTTATCGACACTATGAGAACAATAAATCAAGGTATATCAGTGACACCCCTCTGGTCCAGAAAACGTTACCACAATTCCGAAAATGCTGGGATTCACTTCTATAAATCCGGGGATTTTGGAAGCCATATTAACATACCGGATCCCAGGTTAGAAACCCCTAATGAGGATCCTAAAACACACACACACATATATATATATATATATATATATTTAAAACTTTGAAACAAATAGTTTTGTTTCATTGCCTGTAATTTAAAAAATGGAATATATTCCATTTATGTGGTTTTGCCCCCCTCCCCTCGCCGGCATTTCCAAATATAAAAACACACAAGAAAAGACAAAAACGAAAAGAGCAACTGTGTTTAGTTGATGATCTAGTAAAGAAATGATAAAGAAAGAGTTTTAGTCAACCGTGTCAAGAATGCGAGTTTACTTTAAACGAAGAAAACATCTGTGCCCACTGCATGGATCAAACCTTGGACGTTTGTGTTATAAACTATAAAGCTTTCGTGTGAGTTACTGGGGAAGAGGTAAGATAGAAGACGGATATATTTCCACACTGCTAGTGGATCAAACAAACTATTCTTTGTTTACAATATAACTGAAAACAAGAAAAAAAAACAGTAAAATCGAAGCTAGCCGAAATTTTGATAAGAGATTATGAAATAAATATTGGGAATTTTTATGAATGGATATCTATTTTGAAAGTCTTACATCAAGGGCATCTTTCTATTGAAATATTAGGGAAAACAATGTTTTTCGAAATTTGGGAAAGAAACGTGGACTATAGCCTGGGCTTTTCGATGAAAAATATGAATTATTTTGGAAAATGAAAAAAAAAGTGCTTTTTTGACGCAAAATTAGTAGAAAAATATCGGATAGTGCTTATTTCGTCGGAAAACCTAAAATTGAGACATTATAGTATTGACGAAAAATATTATGTCCCGTGAAAAGCTAAAAAACAATTAAACATTTATCACGTTTTTAAGTCCTCATTGAACAAAGGGTGATTTTTTTATCAATGTTTCCCAACTAACATGACTGGCACGAATTTCAAATTCCTATGATGCCAGAAGCGGTGGCTTAATTTTCAACTGTAACTTTTCACTTATCCAAGTGTTTTCACATATAACAATTTCAACTGTAACTTTTCACTTATCCAAGTGTTTTCACATATAACATTTTCAACTGTAACTTTTCACTTATCCAAGTGTTTTCACATATAAAGGTTAAGGCAACTATGTAATTAGTAACTATTGTCATCAATGTGATAATGAAGAAATGTAACAGTAAGTGGAGGAATTATATAATGTTTGTTCACTTAAGTTTTGAGGCAGAACTAACAATATGAAAAATACAAGATATTAAACAAGAGTCAAAGCAGTGAGATTCCTAGATTTTCTCGTGTGTAAGAGAAAGAGGTCACTAGGTTCTGATTTCAAACAGTGATAAAAGTTTAAAAGTGATATATCTATGGGAGTTTTGTGGCTGCGGGACAGATCATATTTTCAATTTTACCTTTAGCGAAACAAAATATTTAATATAATGATATATGGTGTTTCCTCAAACTAACAATAATATGAAGTCAGCCATAACAACGTATAGCATTATAATTAAACCTATACACGTGGTTATCATGCAACGTAATCGTATGACCCTCGACATCGTTGCAGATTCTCGACAAACAAGAAAGTTGCATTTTTAGAAATCGAAACCTTATTCTGAATATTTTAATCAGTGAAAAAAGTTTCAAACAATTTATATTGTACATTGAACACAGCGTTGAATGTTGTTATCAAAGATTGATAATAAAACAAATCAGTGTATATTTCTGGAAGATGACAACTAACCTTGTAAAACTCCTAAAAACAGGATCAGGTGCGTCAAAGATTGGGCGAAGTAACATAAGCTTGCTGACAGTGCTAAAAGGAACATTCCTGACGTAACGATACTTCTGTAAGACAAATGGTGACCCAAAAGTCCAACAAGTATTCCTGCAACAGTTATAGAGTGTTAGTAATCTGAAATAAAACGTATTTATGCTAATGTGTTACTACAAAAACTACCCTGGTTACGACAGTTCCACTGTTACAGTTACGTTCTAGTATAAACTCAAGAACTGTGATATATAACGTCTGCTACTAATGTGAACATTAATCAACATTCCCAAAGATATTTTATCCTTTGCAATAATAATAATAATAAACAGTTTTAAAAGGCATCTGTAGAAATAAAAAAACGGAAAAGTAACTCTGCATTTACCAAAGAAAAATAGGCTTAATATGAGCTAAGTTTAAACCACATTCACTAAAGTAGTTGACTCTTCGTGAAAAAAAAATATAAAAATGACTAAGTTATCAGTGAGAAGAAGAAATTGTATTCAATGTTCCAGTTTTATATGTTTATGTAAATCGCGTAGTTTCACACAACACGAGTATTTTAATAAGTTCATTTCTACTAAAGTTCTTTCAAAACGGATATTTTATTAAACTTAAGTAAAGTATAAATAGAATTACAATGAATCAAAGAATGTGTATTCTGAAATGATGCATTTTCAAGTGAACTGAAAAGTCTTCCAAAAAGAGGTTCGAACAAGATATGATTAACAGAGAACAATGCTGAACGTGTAATACACAATATCTTTGTTAAAACGTAACACAGAACAATGCTGAATGTGTAATACACAATATCATTGTTAAAACGTAACACAGAACAATGCTGAATGTGTAATACACAATATCTTTGTTAAAACGTAACACGGAACAATGCTGAATGTGTAATACACAATATCATTGTTAAAACGTAACACAGAACATTGCTGAATGTGTAATACACAATATCTTTGTTAAAACGTAACACAGAACAAAGCTGAATGTGTAATACACAACATCTTTGTTAAAACGTAACACAGAACAATGCTGAATGTGTAATACACAACATCTTTGTTAAAACGTAACACAGAACAATGCTGAATGTGTAATACACAATATCTTTGTTAAAACGTAACACAGAACAATGCTGAATGTGTAATACACAATATCTTTGTTAAAACGTAACACAGAAAAATGCTGAATGTGTAATACACAATATCTTTGTTAAAACGTAACACAGTGTAACTGCTCTAATATTCTTGGAAAGGTTCACTTCTTTATGTTAATATGATTGTTGTTAAGTACTTTGGTAGCAGTAGATTTGGATAAGTTTTACAAGTCCAGCGTTTTTAAGTAAAGTTTTTGTTCTGATGCTTAACTTTAAGTTATTGTTTTAAAACGAGTTCCTCTTTACACTGAAATTGTAACAGTTAACCAGAATTTTAATAGTTATAGTAATTTCCTAGAATTTTTGTAGTTACTAAAATGTCGCTATAAGTTTGATAATTAACCCTCAAGTTTGATAATTAACCCTCAAGTTTGATAATTAACCCTCAAATTACCGACTTGTTTTAACACCTTTTACCACTAGTCGGGTTCAGATATTGTACGATATTAAGTAATTCTGTGTTGTAATATATTATTATCATTAATATGGAAATATTATTTTAACTATTACCATTTTTTGGTTGTGGAATTTTGTATTTGAATGCACAAATTTATAAAATTTAAATACACTGCTGTGTATTTGAAGTAATTAAAACAGTTAAGTGACCTGCCTATACTAGTGACATAATAGTTTAGGCATGTAGAGTTCTGAACGAACTTGATGGCCGTGAGGGTCGTCTCAATGACTGCGAGATTATACCTATTTTACAATACATGATACCCACCAAACACTTCTAATACAAAAGACACTTTGGGCCGAATGGTGTGATAAAATTGACAAGCCAATCGACTTATTTAATAAGAGACACCAACCAGATCAAACCACTTTCAAAACCTGGGTATCGGGGGCAACTGAACAGGGTGACGGTACCGGTACTCCAAACTGTCTATAAACATAAAAAAAAATAACACACAAAAAACCTTAACATATAACACTGCTGTTTGAGATGGAGCTCTCAGGGATGACAGATTCATTCTCCAAACACCTTTCCCTTTGCAATGCACAGTATTATTTATACCCACCCTTCCCTTACGAATATTGTGGCGTCGTCGATACGGCTCTCTTCCTGAATTTTGTACTTGGCTTGACAAACGCCTTGTTTACAGGAAACCTCAGGCACAAAACAATCTGGCTCAGAAAATAATGGTACGTGGAAAATAGCCAATACAGCAGCAAACTGTTGAAAAAAGTAACATTCAACTGAATGCATACATACGCATGTATGTAGCCTAAAATTTATTCTCTGTAAACAAGATAATGAAAAAAAAATTAAAAAGGGGAATAGGAATCGTACAAAGTACAGAAACAAATTGAATCAAAATGCAAAGGCTATATATTCAAGCCTAAAATTAGGAACTCTAAAAGAAGTAAACAAACCAGGCTGGAAATAGTGTCTAATTCATTTTCTCAAACTACAAATCCCTATTTTGACTCCATTAAATTGATGAATACTGTAGACATGGATTCAGAATAGGACATTGTCTCACATGTTGTAACATTGTTTGTAATCTTGACACTCTCATCCAACAAT